GGTGAATGTATTAGTTTCACTCATTTGCCTCACAACCCCAGGGACTATATTGAAATTAGTCCAAGTAAACAAAATAAAGTGATGTGTGTTGCAGCTGCTGGGGGAAGCGTTAAAAACATGGAGATGGAATTTATTACAGGAACATGCTGTGTTCTTTCAGGTTAACAGGAAAGGGGGGGCTTTGAGTGGGAAAAAAAATCAAAATACGTTATATTCCCTACAAATGGAAATCCCCAGAAAGTAAGGCAGGTACCAATGCATTTCAGCCGTACTGTGACATGACAGCCATCAAAAAAACTGATGCAGAAAATTTTCATTTAACTGGAAAAAAATGTGGAATTCATGTATAGAAGCTTACAGATGAAAATTTTGCAGCTCCAAAAAACGGAACCAATTTTGAACATCACCTGCTACAGATACCGATGTATAAAATATAGGACAGGCATATTGCATCAAATATACATTAGAAAGTAATCTATAAGAGTTACAGCAGAAATCAGAAGGGGACGGTTTATGCAAGACAGACAGAGAATGCAATAGAAGTTAAAATATTCACAGAAAATTAGTGAATTTAGAAAATGTATGCAATTCTGTTGGATAACAGATAATCACAGAAAAATGAAAAGGTTTTGGTTTGAGTAAAACTGACACTGACCCTCTATTCTAATAAAAATGTAGATGGCAGTACTTCATTTAAATTGCACAAAGAATTAAGAAGTAAGAGACTTATGCTGTACAGCAGGGATGCCCAACTCCAGTCCTGGGGGGCCGGAGCCTTGCACATTTTTAGGTTTCCCCTCATTTAACACACCTGATTCAACTCCTTGTGCTAATTACCACACAGCTCATTTAATGTGGAACAGGGAAAGAACTAAGCTACACAGGGCTCCGGCCCCCCAGGACTGGAGTTGGGTACCCCTGCTGTACAGCTTTAGAATTGTTGAGTTATGCATTGATTATTGAGTTATAGAATTTTACAATGGCTTGTTTAGCAGGTTTTCATAAATAAGATTTTCATAAGACTTTGAAAAAGTAGGCGATTCTTATGATATCCAGAATCGAGTTCCGGGAAAGATTTTTACAGCCATTCATCAGTGTTTCATCTATGCTGCAGAAAAGCATTTTAAATTTCTCATCAAATGTACAATTACTGGCTCAAAAATGCACATGTCTCATGATAAGAATGTTAAAATCCTGCTCAGCATTTAAAAGTCTTCATTTGGATTCTTCACAGCTGTACACATGCATAATACACCATTAACAGTGCAGCAAGTGATTAGTTATAGATTAATAAATTAGAGGTTACAGTATATGTAAACCCTGTAAATGTACTGTACAATAGCAGTAAGCTGTCTGAGAGGCCTTTCTGTTCCTTTTTTGTTAGCTTGCAGATTTTCCCTTGACATATTTTAATAAAAATAATATGCAACTGGTAGGTCGTACTGTATGTAACTTTGACAGTCATTTCTGCCCATTTCTGACTCTTTGGTTCCTCTTTAGGTTCTGAGGTGCTTTCAGATGCATCTGAACAGCTTCCAGAATATAATCTCTGTGCTTTCTAATCTCCCAGACCCATTCCATGCATTAGAATCTCAACAAGTACCTCATTGCTGTACATCTGGCAAACTGCAACTGTGACAGCCTTCTTAAAACACAACATTTCAGGGGTATCATTGAATGCTGCCAGTTTTTTCTGCTTTTAATTATTATTTACCCTGACACTGATAATCTAAAAAATAAAAATAATTCAACAGTCATATTTGGTGAGTTTCAGAGTATAAGCAATTGTGTTGTCATATATTTTTGTACTTGCATTATTTCACTTACAATACTCTGTCTGAACCAAGATACGCAATTTGCACTGTACATATTGCAGCTACTGTTAAAATTTCGTTAGTGCCTGTAATGTTGACAGTCTTCACAGAACAGGCAAACAACTGAATCTAGGGGAAATGGCCTGTAAAACAACAATTTAAGCACAAAGTTGTGCAAAACTGCCATTTCTCACATTTCTGTGCTTATGATGCCGAACGAGAGAGATTTTCTGTGACTGTTTCACAAGGTAATTTATTCCACGTACGGGTGACTATCCTGCATGAAGGGTGAAAGTGATGCCATCACATCACCAAAGCAGTCTGTACACACAGCTGGGGAATAGAATAACATTCCAATGATTAAAATATACAAAAGGACACCTGTAATGACGGCATTAATAATGTTGCGGTAATAGTTCTGCTAAGGAAATCAGTCGACTGTAGTCAGCATGACAGATACATGCCACTGTGTTAAGCAATTTCCCAAGCGTTTATGCCTTCCATAATTTATCATTTCCAATAAAGACTTGCAACACAGCTATCTCCTAAACTAGAGGTTCAAGCATTCTAATTTAAAAAGGGCATCTCCAATCCCAGGGAGCTCAGTCAGAACTTCACTTTTCCTGTTGTATATGCTTGTTTTACCATGAAGTCCTCATTTCAACTATAGCTATAGGTATATGCACATTGCACAGGCAGGAATAGGCAGTATTATTTAGGTACCTGTCAATGTACTATGTTAATGTACTGTAATAGTGCAGTAAAGCATGTTTCTTTTATCGGCCATTCATTCATCTGCGTTAAGTACTTCTGACAGTGGGGGTACATGAACTGCAGAAGATAAGCAGCTCTGTATCTGCATGCTTGACGATCTGTCACCCTTGTCACAAAACTGGAACTCCTCAAGGTTTATACATATAATGTTGTTATGCCAGAAATATACCAATGAATCCAGTGGAGTGAATGCAAAAAAAAAGAATTATGGAGACAATAAAAGATAAATACTAACGGGTTTACAGTACTAATTTATGTTTTGTTTTTTTCTTCTTAATTGCACTTTCATTACAAAGCTTATTATATTCTATCAAACTTTTCAATTTTCATTTTTAGTTTCATGCTAGGATTACAATACTAATTCTCCTGGAAGAATGAATTAGCTAAAAACTTTGCCAAACTATCCACTGGTCATAGTCAACATGTCCGTTGTTCATGGGTTGAGAAAATAATATGTGGCTGCTGCAGGAAATTTAAACCATTGTACAAACACTAAGCTTTATAAACTGTCTAAAATAGGCCTGTTCCTTTAGATATAAGGGAAACATATTTAAATCCAATATATATTAAGTAGTTACAAGAGAAATACAGTAGCACTGTCAGTATGTTTGCATAAAAACAATGTAAATGTAGGTGATTTTTTTGAGAATTACAGCTTTACTCACCTTGATATTAAGAAATCCTATTTTAGTTAATGAATAAATGCTTGTATATCTCATTTATATTATAATTCTTAGGAATATCCTGCAGTTACATACTCCCGCCCATGAATTATAGCAGACTTAAAACCACAAATATTGGGAAGTGATGTAAAAAGTGGCATTCAAAAACAGTAAATGTTACACTTAAGAATGTGAAATCCTGGGACTGAATTTGGTTCAAAGATAGAAGCATTCGATAAAGCCAGGATTTCGTTCTGTATTATGTATTATATAATTTCTTTATCCAAACAGATTATTTGCTAAGTTCTTCACCTTCTTTGACACAAAACACGGTTACCGTGTTGCATTTATGAACTCAGTTATTTGATATACTATTGAGTACTGGATGGGCCCACATTCTATAGCGGTTGTCTCTGTCATCTACATCTGCTAACTGTTACACTAAAACTTCACACTTTCGTGTTCTATACAAAACAAAGTATCTATTCATGAATGTCCTTTCACCCTGTGCCAGTAGGATGAAACTAAGAGGACAAACAGAAAAAGCTAAAGAAAACAGAAAACATTTTAGGTATTTAACAAGATGCTGGTGAAGAATGCTATCTCATTTTTTTTAAAATCACAAATGATATAGGATTGAATGTCCTCATTTTCTGTTTGCTGTGATATATTCTTCTTTGTTCTTTAGTTGTATATAGTATAATAAAAGTTTATCTTCTCCCATTTAATCCTCAAAATTTTTGCAAAATTTTCACATTACAATAGGTGAAATTGCATTGAAAGCAGCATACACATTTCCATATTATAAAACAGGAAAAAAACACGAGCTTTTCTCATTTGTTGTGTGTGAAAGGTGAGCAAACACATAATCCCCTCTATTTATTTGAATGGTTAAGTGTTAAAAGTTAGTTAAAAGGTTATGCTAATTAAGTTATCAGGGCTCTTTATAAGCAATATAACTTTAGCACTTACCATAGTCCGCTTGCTATACATTTATAAGAGACTGTAACTTTCTGGAAAGGATTTAAAGTCATTTTGAAGACTCAGAGGCTCCACTGGACATCTTCTAAAAATCTTTCTAAGAGCAAGGTACAAAATTGTCACAAAGACTAAAATGACATGAAGACATTTACAGAAATACCTCCCTTCAGCTTAGTATTACTATTCATTATAACACCATCCAAAAACGCTCACCAAATATAGGCTACATGGCAGGCTACCAAGAAACCATTTCATGCACAGAAGCTCTGACTGCTAATCTCAACTTTGCCAAAACTCTGTGACATCCTGGAGTTCCGGGCCAGTGTTTTATGGACAGATGAATAAAATGTGGAACTTTTAGACCAGCATGGGCCCGACTGAGGACTGCCAGGGAAACAAACAGAGCGTTACCGAAACACATGCTGCACAAGGATATGGAAAGATTTTCCTCCATGGGTGGAACCGTGAATTCTTGTCTATAATTCTATTGGAGAAAAGATGATTGAAAGCAGCCATCATTTAGGTCACTGCCCATTTACACACATTTCATATCAAAAATCAACATCCTGAAATATTAGAAATATTTAATAGCTACATGTCAAATAATAAAAATGGCGCTTGCTTGAAGTTTGTAGTCAGAATACAATATTTTGATATATATACTAGCAGTTTATTTTCTAAAGATAAATGTAACCCAGGTTAGAAATTAGTGTATTTAAAAAAAAATAAATAAATAATAATAATAAAAAATAATAATAATAAAGGAAAGATATATATTGAAGTAATTATACCAAAATAAAAAAAAACAGACTAGGAATGTTAAATTTAAATGGGTATTTAAATTTGTTGCTGTGCTGGGGACTTTTAAACAATGTAGGTAACTATGGTAAATAAAGTGGGATGGTTTTTTTTGTGAAAATGCGCACGGTGATGATGTCATCAGGTGTGACCGATAGGCACAAAAAGAGAGAGAGCATGTGTTTTTTTTTCAGTTGGCGAGTGTCAGCACTAATTAAAGGCAGGTATATCAGTCATTTTTGTTTAAAATGCATAAATAATGCTTTGGATAATGTTTTAACATTTGTAAAAAAATCTTATTTGGGTCATCTTAGCATGATTATTGATGTTATTGAAGTGGATGAAGTGCGATTGTAAACCCTGCAAGCTCCGATGCGGATGATTTAAAGTGTGTTGAAATTCTCCGGACTTGGTGAGTTTCAAAGCATGACATACAACTCTCTTAAATGATGTGTTAATGTGATGTGTTAATGTTTTGAAATGTTTTATGCGAGTTATATGCAACTAGTGTTCACGTGTCGTCATGTAACTTTATGCAGTTATTCTGAATTCTGAATTGAGTTCAAAGGTGTAAATTAACAATTAATCATTTACATAACTGATTGTAAGTGCTTAAATAGTATTTCCCTAGTAGTTAAGGTTACATGTGGAAGATATGTTCAGTTTAGCAGTCATGTTAATTGTCTGTGATGTTGTGACGCTGTTTGTATAAACAGGTCAGGTTTTTTTCCTGAGTCTGAGCTAAGATGTTATCCTGAGATGGCGAGCCACCCAGTTAGAGAATCTTGAAGAGGACGATTAGAAGATTTTGTTTTTTTTATGTTACAATTGTTATTCAGTGTTTGAATTGTTCTGGTTAGTTGATTATTTCTCTGCTCAGATTGACTTTACTGTGAAATTGTTTTAACTTGTGGGTCACAAGTTTAACTTAAACGAGACCAGTACCCAAAAGCAAAGCTCCAAAAAGAGTCATTATAAGATTAGAATAGAAAAGATAATATAAATTAATAAGAAAATAAACAGGTATCGAAAGGTAATAATTCCAAAATTAGAGCAAGTTAACTATTAAAGGAACAAAATAGTGCAGAAGAAATATCTAGATTAACTAGCTACAAAGGAGCTCAAGCTTAGTTTTAAAAAGGGAAGAATTATTTTACATGGTCAGTGTTTTCATTTAATTTCCTATTTTCCACCTTAAAGTAAACAAGCAACTTCAAGTCATTCTCTTGGTCTGTCTGTTTTGTTACTGCTGGTCACCAACACTCGTATTTCTGCCCTCCAGTAGCGATCCTAGAATCTTGACTGGTCCATTAGTGTATCCTTTCATATAGAGCCGTATAGAAAAAACTAGTAATCGCGGTGTGGGTTACATAAACAAGCTCTGTAAATGGTGTGACAATGTTTCCTTAGATTGATTAAGCAGTAGGCTGCTACGTGCATCATCTGGATGTACATCTAAACAAACTATATGTAAGGGGAAAAAAAAACTTTGTTTTAATGGCTGAACTCTCAACTGAAAATGTTCAAAATGCCTTCTGTTTTTCATTACCACTCAAAAGCAAACACATTAAACTTTAAAGAGCAGCCATTACTAAAACTCATTAGAAGAGTTCATACACATTGACCTTGCAGGTGGTATTTAGATTGCCATCACCAGACCATTCTAGCAGCTGACCTTAAAGACTTTATTCTCTCCTGGTCATGGAAGACTGTTGTGTAGCTCTGATAAACCAATTTCACAGTCTGTTGAGATAGCATCACCTATTAATCTCAAAACAGCTTAATGGGGGCATAAGACCATCATGTTCATCTTAACAGCAAACTGTGTATATGTTATGACACCTAGAATTTCAACTAAACTAGGTGCTGTATGATTTTTCCCCTTCGCTCTCACAATGCTCCATCACGTTAATGGTCCATGGAAAGATATTTTGATGGTTTATTGTAATGGGCCAAGTTCAAGCTGATTCCATGGCATGGAACATTAGTACGTAGGATGTTAATGTGGATGGAGATAACCAACTTCTTGAAGAAAATTAAAATAGAAAGAAGGAAGGATACAAGCTGGACAAGCAATGCAAAGGAACATGACAGGACAAAAAGGAAGGTATTTAAGGGCCCAAGTGTGTGGAGATCAGTAGACATGCTTTACGATTAGTAATGTAAGGAGTTCATAACTGTTACACATAAAGGGGTGTGGATGCCTGTTTTCCCTGTTTTGCCTCCCTTTTCACCAGATCTGCAAGGAACACATGACTGGTGCTTCTGGCTGCTCAACCCTATCCATGTAGTATAGATAGCAACCCGTCATTGGTGCTCCGGGGTTCCAGTTCCAGTCTCTCACCCAATCCTATCTGGCCTATGTTCTAGCTATGTTCTGCCTAACTATATGGGATTCCAGTCCTACTTCTAGAAGCCTGTTATGAACTATCCTAGCAGTACATTTCACACCACTTAATGAAATTTCCCATTATTTTTGAAGGTCACTTGATGTCATTGTTCAATTCATGAGGCACTGTTGGATAAGTTGACAGTCACCTCCAGCATTAGAAAGTTGCATCTGCCCACTATGTGGTTGTTTTTTGGTTATTCCCAGTATCTTCTGTTTCACCTTGTTCTTGTGTGCTGGTGTCTTAGAAATTTTGAGCCTGGAAGCAGCCTGTCTCTCAGTTTAGCCTTATACCAGCAGAACCATGATTAAACCATAATTTAAAAATGCATATTTTTCTAAAATATGGAGTGGTCTCAATTTTTTCCAGAGCTATAGCTCTAATGCTGCAGAGTGTGGACACAAATACCTTATTAAAAGGTGGTTTGCAAAATTCAATGGCATACTACAGGGGCACTAGCGCTATACACAAGCACCTGAAGAGAACACACACACTGGACCGCCAGAATAAGCAAAACCACCGTATGTGTTGTTGTCATGATTGCGGGCGGCTCGGGCACGGGAGCGAGGCATCGGGCACAAAAAAGGGCGGACGACCCACTTGCGGCTCAAAGAAAAACAAACAGGATTCATTAAATAAAACAGAAAAAAACTACAAAATCAAAAAGGACCACGAAGGGTCAAAAACTGAAGGGGATTAAACAAGACTAAATAACAAAAACCGAACATGCATTGAACACTGAAAATATCTAAACCATCAAACATCCATGAAACAACAACACATCACACAGAAAATGAACCACTGAGCAACTAAACAGAAGCAGGAACTAAAATACTAAAGGGGTAACGAGACTAACACAGGACAGGTGAGACTAATTAACAGAGACCAGGGAAACAGGGCACAGGTGAAACTAATAAACTCAGAGGAACTAAAAACAGGGAAACTAAGAACTAACCAAGGAAACAGGGAAACAGAAACCAACACTAGGGAATTAAACAGGTAAAGACACAAGCAGGGGCACAAGGAACAAAACCAAAACCAACTACAAAATCAGACACAAGAACTAAAGAAACTCAAATGAAACACTAGGGAGCAAAACACAAAAACAGAGGAGGCAGGATTCAAACACAGGACAGAAGGGTACTCAGGACAGAAGGGTACTCAGGACAGAAGGGTACACAGACAACCACATGCTCAACACATTGAGCCACATGACCAGACAGATAACAGGGGAGAACAAAGACTAACATAAAGGACGGGATGACCAGCGACACCTGCTGGTCAAACGGGGAAGGGACACGAAAGGACCACAGCAGGGGCTGACCCTGACAGTTGTCTATTCATGTGTATTATATTACCATTAACACAGAGAGCATTTTAATATTTTTAGTCCTTGTAGCTGCTAAATGTTATTATCAATGATGCACCGATCGATTGGCCAGCGATCGGAATGTGCCGATTTTCATCCTGGTCAGTGATCAGCCAATCAGTGTCACGTATTCCCGATTACGAAATACGAACCCATCTTGCGCATGCGCAGTACTGTAGATCATATGGGCAGTCGTGTGCATTTTCAGACACGCAAAAATATCCATAATTTGGAAATTCTTCAGCGTGAGCCAAACAAACACAAAATTCGCTAAGTGCAGCAAGTGTAAGGACTAGGTACACCGTGGGGGAACCAATACAAAGACATTTAACAAAACAAATTTAATTAGACATTTAAAAACATCACCCCAGTGAGCACGCTCAGTTGGAGGAAAGCTGAGCATGTTGGAAGCCATCTACGAGCCAGCAGTCTGTGTCTTTCGTTGGTATAAGCAGTGAAAAGAGCAAAGAAATTACGAGGAAAATTGTGGAATTCATGGCACTGTATGACCAGCCGTTTTCTGATGTTAAGGATTGAGGCTTCAGAAATCTGACAAATTACCTCAGCCCAAAATATAGAATACCAAGTAGGCTTTACTTTTCGGACGTCGAGCTACCAGAGTTGTTTAATCTAGTCTCATGTCAGACGCGTAGCCTGCTACAAGCGGATGCCAAAGCGGTATTCAGTTTTACAACTGATATTTGGACATCTAATGCCAGCGTGATGTCGGCCATTAATGCTTAAGTTTTATACATGAATGCATTTTGTTTTATAATATGTTTCCAAGACAAAAAAGGTGCCTTGTTCTTTTACTTTTACTTATTGCACCTATGTATTATTATTTTAAAGAATATATTAATGTTTAGTTGTAGTTGGGGTTTTATTTATTTGTTTTAGTTTAATTTATTTGAATTTCTAAAGTTTAATAAGAGTTTGTTATGAAAATAAAGTTTTGAGGTAAAGAAAATGTGATTTTTGTATATATTTGCTGTTCTCAGGGCAATGTACTTTTTGTACATGTAAGAATAAGTTTCTAGTGTTTGAAATTTATTGCTAATATTGCGATCGAGAGAAGGGCGAAGGAGCAGGACGCAGTGAAGCAGAGTCCGGGAGCCGTAAATCCAAGGCAAAGGGATTTATTGAGGGCAGATGGACAGACAGGGTACAGACTTCCACAAACGTCAATGACAGACCTAGGGAAACAGACTTGAACGCGGACCAAATACAGGACATGACCTCAGAATAAATGCAAGACAGCTGATACGATGGGAATTGAATTGAAGATGTCAACATCTAACCATCATTTATTTTTATTATCAGAGTCATAAACCACAGCATCTTATTTTTGTGTTTGTATCTGGTAACATCTTTATGCAGTATAAAGTAGGAATGTAATGATACCAAAAACTCACGGTACGATAATATCTCGATAAGAGGTTCACGATATGATAATTATCACGATGTTTAAAAAGAAAAAAAGCTCTTAATAATTAATAAACAAAATGTTTATTTATATCAAATTAGTTCTTCCTTTTAACATAAAGTGCTTCTGCTTTTCTTCATTAGTGAAATATCCAGCTATGACCTTAAGCATTTGCCAGAACTTAGCAGTAATTGTCCTTTGCAATGAATGACTGAACAATGCATGTAATTATAAAACAAAAACAAGCAGTCAGTTGTTCCCTTATAAAATATTAATTATTACTGCAGCAGCTGGATCTTTTAATCAAAACACACAATTTGGAATTCCGTAGTAGTGTTTTCTGTCATTTTACCGCTGGGTCTGGTTTCACCGCGTGAAATATAGGCCACGCCTATAATACTAACACGCTAAATAGTGCGTGAAAACAGTGAACGTGTAACACTTATGACCCTATTTTGGGTCCACTTAGTAGTGCTACTGGCCAGTTCTAGATTCGATGGGAGTGACGGGGAAAAGATAATGACACCTCAAAATTTAGAACAGCAACCTTTAGTAAATATTAACATTTAGTAAATATTAACAAGTAGAACAAGAAGAATCATGAATACATTAATATATATTTACATTTAAATGGAAAAAAATAAATCTACCTCTTTATAAAGTATGGATTTAAATATTGTTTATTTTGGGTTCTGAGTCCAGTGGTTAAATCATTTATTCATAGTTAATCCTAAATCTAAATCTAGTTATATCCTAATTCAGTTTTGCTAATTTTTGACTGCGGACAGATTGTATAAAATAATTATTTTGTATATATTTATAATCACCTAATAAGTCCTTATTTAAATTCTCTATCCAGTATATTTAGCAGCTATTTATCTTTCCTTTAAATCGGTAAGATTCCCCCACATATCAAATTTAAAATTCAACACGTATAAAGGGAAAAAAAAGGCATAATTTCCAAGGGTTAATGTACCATTCAATTCAAGCATAACAATGTCCAGAGGTTAATTTACAGTTCAATTCAGTCCATCATATT